TTCATTGAGAAGTTATTTTAGTTCCCCAATATCGTTATTTTCGACATTATAACATAATTTGAAATAAGTTTTGAAGATTCGCTGCCATCAAATTATAATTGTAAGAAAGAAAACGTAATCTCAAACGAATTTGGCAAGATAACTAGGCTATATCTAAACGACGATTATGAATATTCAAACTTTCATTACTGAATTTTCTTTAATAAAAATGAATCTTCCAAATATGACGGTTAAGGATATTCAAAATCAATAGCCTTATAAGAAATACTTAATACAAAAGATTATGTCAATTACACCATATTATTAGAATAATTAAAATATATTACTGACACTAAACATGACGTAACTTCAAATTCATAATAGGTTTTCGAACGCCGCACCCAAAGTATACTTTAAGAATAATTTAAATTTAGATGACAAAATGTATATAGGCATTATTGAATTGATTAAATGAATATCTTCAAATTATTAACATAACATGATAGTAAGAGTTCAAAAATATTGAACGCTTTCATATTTCCGATTCGAATAAGCAACCAAGAAATAACCCCAATCATATGACCGTTTACCAGATTTCAAAATGTGCCTAGCTGAATGTTATTTATTTACAGAACTTTATATGTAACTTAACGGCTGACGTTTCTTAAATAATTTTCAAAAAGGAAATAAATAAATAATATTGAAATTAAAATGTTTTAAAATATTTCATAAGTGGATGGTTTACTTCTCAAAAAATCGCAAGTCCTTTAAGGCACATGAAGTTCATTTCGCAGTATTTTTATTTTAGCACTTTTAAAAGTTTACAAAATCGTTAAATCTCTTTAATTCTCTTTTAATTTGAATAATACTTTTGTAAAAATAAAATTTAAATATATCTACAAAAAAAAAATTACAACTTGCCATAGATAGTTAATGAATCTTGACGCTATTCAAAACAGAGAAGTAATTATCACCAATGACTTAATATTAACTTTAACAAAAGTTGATATCGTAGAATTCGATTTGGAATCAGGTAAATATTTCTTTTGCTTATTTATTATTTATAAATTTCTAACATATTTTTCTCAAAATAAAATGTATGAATTCTTAAACGCTTTTAATTCTGCTTAATAAGTTCAATGCACCACTAAAAGAAATAAAAATTTTATTTATAAAATAAATAATTAATTGAATAATAAATTTACTTAATTCACATACCTCATCATTGCCACCAAGTCTTTCATTATGACAGACAACTTCTTGAAAAGTATCATTTCCAATAGTAAATTGAAGATCATGACTACGTAAAAATACTTGTTGACCCTTATAATTCTTAATACTAAGATTAATTGTATCATTTGATTTCAAATATCCTTGATAATTTTCTAATTTACTATTATTAAACTTCCATTGAGTATAACTACTACTACTGGGGTTACAATGTACTAAAATAAAATAATACATCAATATTAAACCTTTTTAAAAAAATATATTTTGAAATAACAAAAATTAATGACTACCTTCCGTGTGCTGAGTTACTGGAGATTTATATCCACCATGACAATAAATTCCAAGAAACTTACTAGAAATATTGTGTCGTAAAGAAATATTAGTATCGGTATATGAAGCTAGTTCTTTACCTCTTGTAAATGTGATTGTCCATAAAGCATTTGAATCATAATTACTAGCAAAAACCTAAATTTATTAAATAAAATATTATTATCAAATTATCTAACATGAAAAAATCCATAAAATACATACCAATTGTCTCCCGCTTCCAGTTGTATAATATAAATCACTAATTGAACTTAAATATTTTCCCGTAGCAACGTGTTTTAAAGCTACAATAGATCCATTTCTAATTATATTTGATTCATCCATAGCAATTTCCTCAAATTCTTTAATTAATTCATTTGTAGAATTAATTCTGTCCGTTCTCTTAAAAAATTCAGTTAAAAAATAATCATTTGGAAGTGATTGTATCAAGTATTTTTTTTGTTCCTCAATATCGTTAATTTCGGCATTATAACATAATTTGCGAAAATTCAAAATAAATTTTGAAGTTTCGCCTCCTTCTCTTTCATGAAAAAATTTTAATGATTGCAATTTTCTTTTATTTGTATTTTTGAACACTGTGAAGGAAATGTCATCCTTAAGTGCACTACGAAGTTTTTCAAAACTATCAATTCCACTTGGAAGTTTGATAATAGGATCTACTAATGATTTTGCATATTGCAAATGATGACATGTAAAATTTAACGTATTATCTTTATTTTCAAATTTCATATAACTTATAAAATCATTTATCCATTCATCTGGATGGATGTTTCCATCATATTTTGTAGGATACATTATTTTTTTTTGTTATCAAATAAAATGGATAAAATGGTGAAAGTGACTCTCCGGTTAAATATTTCAATCGTACCATATTTTAACAAGAAAATTAACATTAATTTAGAAATATAGTAACGTTACATATGCAATATCCTGCAAGTTTTGGACAATTATAGATAGGTTTTTTTCCTTTTTTTTTTTTTTTGATTATTAACGTTAGTTTTTTTTAAAGTCGGATTCCGGGCATTGGGTCGGTTCAATAAAT